CTGAGAATGTTAAATTATTGCCAAGTTCTAGGTTAAAAGTATGGTTTGTATAACTTAGCATTTCAGGTCAATTAAACACAATCTAAGCCATCAACTATGATTTTGGAAGCCTTTGAATATGTTGTCAGACAGTAACTGCCCTACTTAATACATGAACTTGGGATGTTTTCTCTTGATAGCTCCTTAACAAGCTGCTGTGACCATAAGGCACTGGAATGTTTTCTGCTTTCAATTCACTCTGAAAAACATAGGATAGATTAGAAATTTACAATTGTCAGTTCTTGGAACATAATAAAGCTTGAAGGGACTTGCTGATTTCATATATGTGCCATTGGTTGAATGGCAAATAATAATGTCAGGCATTATTAAAACTACTTTCTCCAGTACTGTAATGGCAAGATATTTGGATGACCTTCTATCACACATGTGTCAAACACAAGGCCCGCGGGCCAAATCCGTCCCACCAGGCCTTGCAATGTGGCCTGCACCGCGCTGTCATCACTGCACTCAGCTGCGTTTCCATCACAATGACAGTTTATGACTGTTCAGTAAACCATTTGGCCCGCGATTTAGGCTGGATTTTAGATTTTGGCCCCTTCTCTGATTGAGTTCGACACCCCTATTCTATCAGAAGGAGATGAGGGAGGTTGTGGCTCATGATGATGTCCCATGTTGAATTACATAAATAAAAAGTGTTCTCTTTTATTGCTGAGTCATATTCTATTATATGGATGTTATAATTTTTGTTTATTCATTCAACTCTTGATGGACATTTGGTTGTTTCGAGTTTTGTGCTGTTTTGAATATTTGCATAGACTTATGTTTTTATATCTCCTGAGTAAATACCTGGGAATAAACCTGATGGGTTACTTGGTAACTTCCCAACAATTTCACACATGACTCTACCTGTTAACATTCTCAAAATGCATGAGGACTCTACTTGTTCCAAATCTTGTCTAACACTTGACAGTCTTTTTAATTTAGCTATTCTTAATGTGTGTGGCATAGCATCATGGTTTTAACTTGCATTTCCCCGAAGACTAGTAGTGTTGACCAAGAGTTTGTAAACAATGAACTGGTAGCTAAGTCAAGCTGCCTATTTTTGTAAATATAGTTTTATTGGAACACAGACACATTCACTTGTTTACATAATGTCTATAGCAGCTTTAGTGCTATAGTTGAGTTGTTTAGGCAGAGTTGAGTAGTTAAGGTAGGTAGAAAGCCTCCAGCCTGAAAAGCCTATAATATTTACTATTTGACCTCTTACAGAAAACATCTGATGACCTTGAGTATCTTTTCATGTGCTTGTTGGTTATCTACTCTAGTGGAAAATCTATTTGAATCTCTTGCCCTTTTTTTCTTAAATGTTTTGTCCTCTTACTGAATAGCAAGCATTATTTTAAATATTATGGATATAAGTTCTTTAATTGACATATGTATTACAAATACATATAGACATGAAAGAATTTCTCCTACTGAAAGGGCTGTAATGGTAATTCCTTTCTCACCCATCATGCCTGGATGTCTGCAGGAGTTGAACTGGTGTAAGTACCACATGTTTGTACTGTGCATTTGGTCAGAGCTTCATTGAAACTGACCACAGCCACTCAGAACTCTAGGTTCAACATGAAATGTTTGCTTAGCACTTGTGCCCACAGCAACAGCAACACACTTCCTTGGTCTGATGCAGAGAATTCTATGAACTTATAGGGTCTACCTTTTATCTGGTTTTCTAACCTCACTTCCTCTCTTGTTATTTTTAATGCCACAGGACATGTATTTACTTTTGAAAAGTAAAAGAGGATTAATTGTAATTTTGTTTTGAAAGACTTTTTTTTCTTAAAGAATTTCACAACCCCCTTTGAAATATTTAGAGATTCCCTGGAGTGTTGAAAAGAGAGGATTAGAAATAATTGTCATAGATCTAATATTCCACTTTGCCAATTTGCAGTCTTTTTCTCAGCCATACCAGTATTGCTTTCCTGAAAGGTTTACATGCTTTACTTTGTATCTCTCTTGGCATTTGCTTTGACCAGAATCGAACCTGGGACCCTTCAGTCCGAGGGCTGACACTCTATCTACTCAGCCAAATCAGCCAGGGCTATTGATGCATTTGTTGACATAGATTATTAGGAAAAGGGAAAAAAGACTGAAGATATAAAAATTCCTGTGCAAAGGAAATGAGAACACTCCCATTTCGGTTGATCAGTGATTCTGTTTACAGCCTGCCTTTTTCTCACTTGGTGTAGCCATCCTGTCCACTGGCCAAGGGGAGTAATCATGTGGTACATCATGCCAAAATTTATAGCAAAGGTCTAATGTGATAATGCTGTGACTCTTGGCTCTTAGTCAAATGTGTGTGCAGCCCAAACACACTAAGATTCCTTACAAGGTGCTGAAACAGGCCGTCTGTGTTTTCATTTATTGTGAGGCCTGATAATGTTCTAAGGTAACAGAATATGTGCTTGACTTATATTTACTCCATATAGTGAGCAGGATGGAGTAACTCTGGGGTTAATTTAGTCACACAACTGAGATGAGAAAAGTTAGCTTGGATAAAATCTGTTGTATCTGAAGTGTAAATCATTTCATCGAAATCTAATAAAGTTAGGACAAAACATCAGAAGTTAACATCAACTTAAGTTTTATTGTCTGGGGGCTGGCCACTCCTTACTCTAGTCACTAGAGTCTAGTGGGTAGTAACAAAGGTCTCAATAAAAACAAAATAAGCCCAGCCTAGAGAGAACCTGAGACCCAGTTTTGAGCCTGAGATCTGACTTGCAGAGTGACAGGGTATGTCTATCTTTAATGTAGCTGTTTGGACTAGGTGAACTGGACTAGGTAAGTCTTCCTCAGACTTTAGAAACCCAATGTCTCTGGGTTTCAATTTTGTTACAAGTATAAGAATAGCTATCTGAGAAGCAAGAAGTTCATGGAAATAACATCAAATTCTTGGGAAGTACAAAGTACTATGCACATATCTAGAAATAGTAGTATTGGCTGCTGCGGTAAAAGAAAGGTTCATTTCCACAACCTGGTATCCAAGAAGGGGCTGTGTTTAGTTTTTCAAATGCCTAATAGAATCCTTTTGTGTAGCTATATTGAGGTGGTCTGGGCTGATTTTGACTGGAATATGATGACTTTGGGAAGCCCCATGCTGTTCAGAGGTGCTGACTGATATATATACAAGTCTTTTATTAATGAGGAAGGAAATGTGAGATGTTAAATTAGTAATTGCAATTTTCTGAATAGGTACAATATTTTAGAAACATGAAATTTCTTGTGGAATAAAGGAAGAAGATATTTCAGGTTCACAATCTTTTATCTAAAACTTTGAGCCAGACATGTTTTTGAATTCAGAAAATCTTTGGATTCTAGAAATGTATTAGGATGCCTAGACCCATGGTTGGCAAACTGCGGCTCGTGAGCCACATGCAGCTCTTTGGCCCCTTGGGTATGGCTCTTCCACAAAATATCATGGCCTGGGTGAGTCTATTTTGAAGAAGTGGCATTAGAAGAAGTTTAAGTTTAAAATTTTGGCTCTCAAAAGAAATGTCAATCATTGTACTGTTGATATTTGGCTCTGTTGACTAATGAGTTTGCCGACCACAGGGTTAAAGCATCATTCCAATATGCTGAGGTTGCTAGTTTGATCCCCTGTTAGGGCACATATAAGAATTGATGTTCTCTCCCTCTATCCCTCTAAAATCAATAAATATAAATTTTAATGCCTTCATGACTTAATTAAGTTTGCTCTTCTCACTCCATAATCTTTCTCAGAAAATTCAGCCAATGATCATTTATAAATGAACTAGAGGCCTGGTGCACGAAATTCGTACATGGAGTCAGGGTGTGTGTGTCCCTCAGCTCAGCCTGCACCCTCTCCAATCTGGGACCCCTCCCACAATCCAGGACTGCTGGCCCCCAATTGCTTTTCTGCCTGCCTGATTGACCCTAACAGCTTCTGCCTACTAGCCTGATCACCACCTAACCACTCCTCTGCCAGCCTAGTCACCCCCAACTGCCCTCCCCTGCTGGCCTGGTCACCCCAACTGCCATCCCCTGCAGGCTGGGCCCCCCGCCAGCTGCCCTCCCCTAGAGGCTGGTCCCCTACAACTGCTCTCCCTTGCAGGCCTTGTCCCTCCCAATGCCCTCCTCTGCAGGCTGATCCCCCCAACTGTCCTTCCTTGCAGGACTGATCACCCCCAACTGCCCTCCCTTGCAGGCCTGGTCCTTCTCAACTGCCCTTCCCTGCCAGCCATCTTGTGGTGGCCATCTTGTGTCCACATGTGGGTGGCCATCTTGTGTGTTGGAGTGATGGTCAATTTTCATATTATCTCTTTATTATATAGGATGATATCAGCTGGAACTATAGCCCACTCCTGAGTATCAAACTAAGATATTTGACTTACTGTTGGGCATCTCCATGTAATTGTCTCACTGTTCCAGTAACCTCCAAATAGAACTAAGCATTTTTCTCCTCCACATTTGTCCTTCAGAATTCCCTATTCTACCATCTCAGTTACCCCTAAGCTGAACTCTTCCCATTTTCCTCTCTCTTCAACTCTGTAATTACAAAGTCCTGTGGAGTGCAACACAAGAGCAGCACCGAGGAAGCTGGGGTTCTCCCAGTGCAGTAATTTAATTTACCAACCACAGGTCTTGTCACCATTCCCAGACAGCATGTATAAAACAGAGGTTCTGACGAATTGTGGATAGCCAAAGTAGCCTGAAATCCCACCTACCTGCTCAATGGAACATGGCTAAATATTAAACCCTATCATTTACCTTGTATTCTAGACTAATTTATGTGTTAAAAAAGCAAAACTGTTTTTCTGTGACCTCAGAATTACCTGTATTTTCTCTATTCCTGTGGGTGTGTCATAATATTGAGTTACTAAGTGTATAACATGCTTTCCGATAACAACTATCCTTTGCTCCAAACTTGTGCTGGGATGTTCATGACTAACAGCTACCTGTTTTTTTATTCCCACCTTCAGGTAAAAGGCCAAACCTGAAAGTCCACATCAACACCACAAGTGACTCTATCTTCTTGAAGTTCCTGCGTCCAAATCCTAATGTAAAACTGGAAGGTTTTCTTCTGGGATATGGCAGCAATTTATCACCAAATCAGTACTTCCCTCTTCCCCCGGAAGGAAAATACACAGAGGCGGTAGTCGGTAAGATGCTTGGCTCTCAGGCCTGGGAAGGAGAGCTAAAAATAACGAGTGTTACATGATACAAAAAAAAAAAAAAAAAAAAAAAAAAAAAAAAAAATTGGTGTGAGGTCAACACCATTTCTTCTCCATCCTCAGCTGAATTGAATGGCAAAATTACAAATCCTCTTCATAATTGTTATCCATAGCACAATTCCTTACATCAAAGAATATGTGATGCATATTTTGCATGTACTACAGAAATTATCAACTTCATTGCCATTATACCTATAATCCCTGAGCACATAGTTAAATTGCATAGAGAAAAAAATAAGCTGAAATACCTGGTTTAAATCTGTAATATAGCTTATGTGGAGTAAACCCCCCCCCCCACACACACACACACCCCCAACCTCCAGTGCCTTAACTTTCTTCTGGTGGAAAATAACAATTATGGCTTTCTGGGTGTCTTTTCATGAGAAGCAACCTTTACAAATGTTATTGATGCATAACCCATGGACAAAAACAATAGGATGGTGGAGGGGCAGAGGCAAGCTATAAGGGGTCAATCGGGGGGAGGAATGGGACATATGTAATATTTTCAACAATAAAGATTTAAAAACAAAACATAAAAAAATAAAAAGAGGAAAAATTAAAAAAAAATGTTATTGCTAGAAGTGTGGGATCCTCTTCCCCACTGGACGCAGGGGGATGGCGGCCTTAGGATATCTAGAGGCAAAGTATCTCCTTTGTGAGGGAGGATGTGTGATTTTTATTTGCATTAAATTACAATCCCTGGGTTTCCAAAGTCCCATTTCCTTTAATCCCCTCCTGAAAGAAGTACAGCTGGGAATTGAGCAGATCTATTATAGAAGCAGAGCCAGTGTCCAGAGCTTCCATCCCATGTTGGAATTGGGTCTGGTACAGCATCAGGCTGGTGCAGTCCATCAGTCCACTGTTTGGGGTCCACATGGCTGTGGGAACTTTGGGCAAATGCAGGAGCATGAGAGCCCTGCAGATCAGGAGTCACCCAAGAGAAACCTGGAGTCAAACAAGAGCAAACTAAGAAAGCACGAAGCGAGAGAGTGAACTCCTTTGTATCTCAAACCTTCCAGTGCTTGCAGGGGCCATGCCTACTCTAGCCAATGACCTGTTCCCATATGTGACTGACAGAAAGTACCTCCCTGTGTCACCCAGACTTTACTAGTCATGCTTCTATTCTCCACCCCATTCAGTCCCTATACCCAGCCATTGGTGGGGAATAGACCCTCCTGGGAAGCAATAAACTGTGCTTCTTGGCAAATTATACGCTTAGGCCAGTGGTCTGCAAATTCATTAGTCAACAGAGTGGCAAACAGAGGCTCACAAGCCGCATGAGGCTCGCGAGCCGCAGTTTGCCGACCACTGGCCTAGGCTATTTGTCCTCCCCTTTGCTTCTTTCCTGTTAAGAATAACTAGGTTAATTACAATGGTATTCAAAAGAAAAGAAAAAATATTACATTTTGAATTTTTTTTAGTATGTCAGACACAAAGATTAGAGTTTTCATTTATAATAAAGTTTAACATTTCACTGAAAAAAAATTTTTTTTAAATATATTTTATTGATTTCTTATAGAGAGGAAGGGAGAGAGATCAAGAGCTAGAAACGTCGATGAGAGAGAAACATCGACCAGCTGCCTCTTGCACACTCCCTTCCGGGGATGTGCCCGCAACCGATATACATGCCCTTAACCGGAATTGAACCTGGGACCTTACAGTCCGCAGACCGACGCTCTACCACTGAGCCAAACCGGTTTCAGCTGAAAATGTTTTTAATCACATTAAAATATAATTTGGAGGATGTGGGCTGCTTCAAGTCTTGTTCAGTAAAATTATTTGTAGATAAGACCTTTTTAAAGAATAACATTAAAAAAAAAAAAGAGGTCATCTATTATGAATGCTCTCAAAGGCTTCTGAACAGTCTGAGATTTATATTTTGCTCCACTGCTAGGATTATTGCTAAAGAGCTTTTCCATGAACTTCTGATATTTAAGCCCGTAACTTGAACTATTATATTTCAGATCTGGCATTTATTCATATACACTCAGAATGCTGAGGATGAATCTGTTTTGTTCTGCAGCCCCTTGCTTCTCATAGAGAAGTCTCGGTTATACTTTAAAATCAGGCAAGGGAGTAACATTGTTAATTAAGTGTCTAGACTAGATTTTTATGTAAGATAATCACTTTAATAAAACAAACAAATTACAGTTACAAAAAAATTGAGATTAAGGAACTTTGGACAAATATAACCACATTAACCTTGATAATATAAGCCATAAGGAATTTGAAATTTGCAAATATTCACCCATCACAGCCACTTTACTATAAAAAGTGACTGGACCCTGTATACTATAACTCCACACAAACAGAAACAGATCTACTGCTCCTGTATTTACTGAGCATTAGAAGTGATAGTTCACTTGTAATGGTTCACTAGTTAAATGATGAGGGATAATCAAATGGATGAGGTACCCTTTTATTTCCCTACTACTGTTTTAATCCTTTAAGATATTTTTATTATGGAAAATTCAAACATTAGGGGAGAGAATATTATAATGGCCCTAGTGTCTTATCATGCAACTTGAATACATATAACTTTTTTACTGATCTTGTTCCATGTATTCTTCATACACAGTATGTTACTTGAGTATTTTAATTGCATTGCTGGACAGGGACTGGGCTTAGAGCAGTCTGCATTGAATTGGCCAGTGAGGTCTGGGTTCTTGACTTTGTGAAACAAAGATTTCACAAATGAGTCCAGGTGACTTTGAGGATATGTTTATTAAAGTTGGGGACAGTGAGACAAGGCAGGGTTTAGAATAGAAGCAGCAGCTTTGGCTCCTGAGAAATGTCATAGGAAAGAACAGTGCATTGTGGGTCCTTTGTTTTGAGCCTTTTAATCTCTCCCTAACTGGTGGGAGTCCCAGGGGAGGTTATATAGGAGGGTCTTAACAGAATATTCATTAACTTTCCAGGTGTGTCCTTCGATATGTTGATTGATCATATAGTAGGGTCAGGGCTTTTTGTTTTGTTTGTTTTGTTTTGTTTTGTTTTTTTTCTGGTTAGTTTTACTTTCAAAGAACGTCAATGAAGAAGGACCAGAACCTAGATCCCTTTGCAGTCTGGAATGTGTAAAGTATTTATTCTTTAGGGTCCTTGGTTAGGGAAGGTAAAACCTTGTGATTCATTTCTGGCTGTAAATTGCTCAAATTGTTTGGCCTTGTTTAATTATTTTTGTCTCAGTTTCCACTTGTCAAGGAATTTCCCTAGCTTCTTACTATCCTGTTACAATTGGACATCATATTTTTAAATCTATTTTTTTATTAAATCTTTATTGTTGAAAGTATTACACATGTCCCCTTTTTCCCCTCATTGACCCCATCTAGCCTGCCCTCATCCCAGGTCTTCACCACCCTATTGTCTGTGACCAGGGGTTATTCATGTATGCATGCAAATTCTTTGGATGGTCACCGTCCGCGCCCCCCCCCCCCCATACACACACCTATCCTCCCCTATCTTCCCTCTGAGATTCTGAAGTCTAGGCTTCTGTGTCTCTGGATCAATTTTGTTCATCAGTTTATTTTGATCATTAGATTCCACATATGAGTGAGAGCCTATAAAACTTATCTTTCTCTGACTGGCTTATTTCACTTAGCATAATACTCTTCAGGTCCCTCCATGCTGTCTCAAAGGGTAAGAGGTCCTTCTTTTTTACTGATGCATTGTATTCCATGGTATAAATGCACCACAGCATTTTTATCCACTCATCTACTAGTGGGCACTTGGAGTATTTCCAGATCTTAGCTATTGTAAATTGTGCTGCTATGGACATAGGGGTACATATATTCTTTCTGATTGGTATTTCAGGTTTCTTTATTATGTAGTCCAAGAAGTGGGATCACTGGGTCAAACGGCAGTTCCATATTTAACTTTTTGAGGAAACTCCATACTGTTGTCCACAGTGGCTGCACCAGTTTGCATTCCCACCAACAGGGTTCTCTTTTCTCCACATCCTTGCCAGCATTTTTCATTTGTTGCTTTGTTTATGTTAGCCATTCTGACAGATATGAGGTGTGAGCTGGTGTTTTAATTTGCATCTCTCTGATGATCAGCAACTTTGAGCATTTTTTCATGTCTTTTACCCAACTGTATGTCCACTTTGGAGAAGTGTCTGTTTAGGTCCTCTGACCCTTGATCAGATGTATCATTACCAAATATGTTCTTTTATTCAGTGGGCTCTCTTTTCATTTTGTTGATGGTATCTTTTGCTGTGCAGAAGTGTTTTATTTTGATGTAGTCCCATTTGTGTATTTTCTCCTTAGTCTCCTTTGCCCTAGGAGATGTATTGGTAAACATATTACTACGAGAGATGTCTGAGATTTCACTGTCTATGGTTTCTTCTAGGACTTTTATGATTTCTCAACATATATTTAAGTCTTTTATCCATTTTGAGTTTATTCTTGTGTATAATGTAAGTTGGGGATCTAGTTTCATATTTTTTGCATGTATCTGACCAATTTCTCCAACATCATTTATTAAAGAGACTGTCTTAACTCCATTGTATGTTCGTGCCTTTTTTGTCAAGTATTAATTGAGAGAAATGGAGTGGGTTGGCTTTTGGGGTCCTTTCTGTTCTGTTGATCTATATTCCTGTTCTTGTGTCAATACCAAGTTGTTTTGATTAAGTGGCTCTGTAGTATAATTTGATATCTGGTGTTATAATCTCTCCAACTTTGTTTTTTGTTTTTGTTTTTTCCTCCAAATTGCTGCGGCTATTCAGGGTCTTTTTTGGTTCCATATAAATTTTTGGAGTATTTGTTTTATATCTGTGAAATACCAATAAGAATTGCATTGAATCTGTAGATTGCTTTGAGTAGTATGAACATTTTAATGATGTTGATTCTACCAATCCATGAACAGGGTACATTCTCCACTTGTTTATATCTTCCTCTATCTCTTTTTTCAATGTCCTGTATTTTTCCTAG